AATTTCACAAAAAATAATTGAATATCAATTCAATAAAAATTTAATTACTTTAAAATATTTATAATATTTGATGACACTTGGAAAATTTTAGGCAAGCCGATGGGAATCGAGTTATATGGACGCCTCGCCACTGTTGTCAAGCTTAAACGTTCTGAAATTTGATCAAAGTTATATTTTAAAAACAACAGCTGAGTTGCTTTTTTGGCTAACGGTCTGTTTTTGGAAGGTTTGTAAATGTCCTTTTAGGTCATATTACGACTCGAACGTCCGCAAGGAATATCAGCGTCAATTAATGCGAATGCTGATATTTCAATTTATGCAGATTGTCCGTGGATACGGATGCTGATATTCGCAACAACCCTGTTACAGACACTGCCTTTAGTGGCATTGAGGTATTAAAAGTTCAACTTCAACGTTATTACTCGTACATGTTTCAGAGCTAGTATCGCGTTATGTGTGTTGTGGTTCCTCAAGTCTGTTATCGTAGAAACTAGCAACATAGCTGACAGTTATTAATTTTCTGCGCTGCTTAGGTCACATCTTACTTTTGTCCATTTTTCTTGGCCAGAGACAGTTTCAAAGAACTTTTTTGTGTTGTGAAGTTGGTTATCATTCGACGGCAAGCTGAGTCATCCATCACTGTGTGAGAGAGCGGTTTAGCGTGCACCTTGATCCGCGAACATTCGAGAGTGTACGTGACTTGTAAATGAGATCGCTAAAAGTAGGTTCGTTTCGGTACGTTGAGTGACAAGGAAGCAATTGTAACTATCTTCTTTTCGCAAAAAACATAGTATAATAAGAAAAGTAATGGTAATTCTATACAAACGTAGCAGCGCGGCTTATATGTGTGCTGTGTAAGGACGCACACATTCGCATGATAATGAAAAACGTATGGGACGACCACCGCTTTGCAATGCGACAGCATCGCGAGATTATGCGAATGTGTGCGTCTGTACACGGCTTTGACAGGTGAGCACACATACAAGCCCCGTTACTACATTTGTATTAAGTTATCATACATAGTGTCATGATTTATGACACTATCCAAAAAAAGGCTGTCTTGTATAACAAAGTAAGCTTACTTAAAAAAAACAATGTTTTACTAACATAATCATCGTAAAATGTAACAAATGCAATTCCGTATTTATAATAAAGAACCCAATGAAGCCATGCAGTTATTGCTATATCCGCAGCTGACTCATCCATCAAAGGCAGGGTCTGTACCTTGATCCGCTACGATCGCGGGCGCACGTGATTTGATTAGCTTGAGCATTATGTTGCGACGGTTCCCAACTGATGGGAAATTCATAACAACATTTTCCTCCTTTACATTTAGAATCGTGTCGCTGTATTAATTATCTCGCTCTAGTAATTGTATCGCTCTTCGAAAGGCATCATTGAGCAACATTTCTTTGTAAAAAAAAAGGTTTAAAAGTTTAACAGTATTTATTATGTCAATGTTTGAGAATTACGAAATGTAACATTTATTTCTCAGGAACAGAACACATACATTCTATAACAATGAATACTTAATAGACAAATATAAAGCTAACTAAAAGAATGACGAGGGAGAATACTGACCACTATGCATCATGTTTTGGTTCATCAGTATCAAAGATAAACTATGAAATTGATAAAATAAAACGAGAGAGGTTTTAACTATTTGTGCCTTCCTTTGTCCGACGATGCTGGAGCGTAGTTAAAGGAAAAATATTTAATCTTAATGTCTGTTTTTTAACACAAAATAGACTGTGGTTTCACGTTTTGTGTTTATACGAGTAATAGCTCTCAGTGCTTATAATGTAAAATAGTGGTAATATGAGAAAACACAGTGGACCACTGATAGACTATTATAAAAAAAACATTGTAAAGCATGATTTTCCAGGCCGTAAATATCAGCGTGGTTTGCTATGCAATCTTTGAATGAACTGCATAATATAGAGTGCGTGTTTACATTATCGTGTATGTTTCCATGTATAGCATAAAATCTGTTTTATTGTCATGTAGCAAAAGAAAAGGCAGGTTCATTCAATCTTATGATTAGAATAAGACATGATTAGGTTAGAATTCGCGTCTATTGGAACGCAAAAAGCACTAAAAGGATACTCCAAATATTCTAAATTTATAATCGGCGAGTTATTTTCATAGAAAATTAAGGTAAAATTATAATTAGTTAAGTTAGTAGCGAAAACACTGAAATGATTAGGAAATGGTATGCAAAATTTGTAATTAAAAATATGTGTGTTCAAATCAGGATTCATTTCATATGAAAAATTTATTTATGTTTGTTTATGGCACTGTGTATTGCAATAACTCAGAAAAAATGAAGATACATGAAAATATGTAACAAAGCTTATTTATTATCAATACATATCAAAATACAATGATCAATTAATACAAAAACACTGTCAATTTAATTATAATTTTAACAATTCACGTCAAATCGAGTTCTTAGGTTTTCGAGTTTTTAGAGTTTCATTTCCTAATTCACGTCAAATTTAAGGTTGCTTTCATGATTTCATAAAAGAGAATTAATTTAAAAATTCAACGAATTTTGTGTATTGTAACAACTGTATTTGTGGATTTTATTTGTAAATGACTTTAGATGACACAATTAAAGTATTCGTGGATATGAGCTTTTATTTTATATAAGCTTTTTGTATTATACTACCACTATGTTCGAATAGTCAAAAAACCCCATAATTATAAATGCCATACTTTCTGCTACGGATCATCATCATCGTCATCAATCCATGTACACGTCCTACTGCCGGGTACGAGTCTCCTCTCAGGCGAAGATTTTATTTATTTAATATTAATTTAATACCGAAAACTCTTTAGCTTGGAACAAATGACAATTGTGCACAACATTGAAATGGAACAGATTTAGTTAAATATTCTATTTAAAAATGAAAATGCACGTTTATAAAATTAAAAAAGTTTGAGCAAACCATAAATTAAAAATCTACAAAAAATAAGTAAAATAGTTTTGAGACGTCATAGACGCTATAAATGATTTTAAAGAACGGTGGAATGTATCTACCTCAGTGGTAACCTTATTATAATTCCTGCACGTACGAAACAACGGATCATTGTACGACACGTTGTATGTTGTTAGTGGCACATAAAAAAGTTTTCGCGTGCGGTATCTTTCAATCATAATCCCAACCCTATCCAACAATTCACTAGCATCCCACACAGAGTTAACCAATTTATATAGCACGGCAAAGCTGTGCGAAGAGCGTCTACTCTCTAAGGTGTCAATTTTAAAGTACCTTAACCTATCTACGTATGATGAGAGCCTACGGCTTAAACCCATTTTAGTGCTTAAATGTCTCAAAAAACGCTTTTGTATAGACTCAATTCTACTTTTATGTCGATTGTAATATGGAGACCAAATCACTGAAAAATGTATAAAATAACAATGCGGTATGGATCTCTGAATGGCCGCACAGATCTCATTAGAAAACTCATAATTTTACTGCACTTTCACACTTTGTAGTCATAATGACTATAAATTTAGACCATAGTCCACACGCTGCCCTGGTCCTATGCGGTATGGGTTCGGTTCACAACCCTCAGAAAATGTGTAAAGTCTTACAAATTTTCTGAGGGTTGTGAATTTTCTTTGAAATGCTGTTTTCATTACGATATTTTCCTTCACCGAAAAGCTCATGCCACGTTTCAAATTAAATTTCGCACACAAGCGTGCGAGCCAGGATTCGAACCTACGGCCTCTTTGTGAGAGGCGGTGTCGTACCATTAGGCTACCACGGCTTTTGAATGCTACGGTTTTTTGTTTTTGATGCCAAGTGTCGAGACAAGTTGTACGTGACAAGTACATAG